TATATATATATATATATATATATATAATAATCTTACATAATTTTTAAATCTTAATATAAAATGTGATTAATATTTTTAAACATTAAATGTACATTTATTAACAAATTAATCACACATTTTTCTGTAATTAATCACAATTAATTGCACTTAAAATTAGAATTTGTTATCATAAATACATTTTCACAGTGACTTCAAATTAATTTAGAAACAATATTAGACATTATATTTCAAATACTTGTTAAATGGCATCTTTTTACTGGTTTTTGGGATAAAATTAGTAAATTTAGCCATTCAATATTACAATAAAGTTGTGTACAAAACATTATAACTTTTACAAAAATTATAACCATTACCACAAATGTCACATTTAGCTGTGCCTTTAATATAGTGTGTTGTATATAGTGTAATATTTGAGAGACACAATTATGTGTTGCTTCATTTCCAGTTTAGGATGGGGCTTACAATCTCAAAATAACTACATACCCATGTCTCAAAAGCTTTATTGTAATATCTGGTCCAGGGCTGGAAGAAAGAGAGAATCCTGGGAGAGTATCCTGATGGCAAGATTATTCTTGTTCTCCCTGATGATCCTAAGTATGCACTGAAAAAGGTACTTGTTTTGAGATTTCTAATAGCTTTCCTGATACATATGATGCCTGTTTCTAATATTTGTCTTGTTTGATTTGAGGTTGAGGAGATCAGAGAAATGGTGGACAATGACTTGGGCTTCCAGCAAGTGGAAACCAAGGTCCCGTCACAGACCAAAACCTTCCTCTTCATTTCAAATGATAAGAAAGTCGCTGGCTGCCTTATCGCCGAGCACATTCAAGAGGTCAGCTGAGCATACAGGTGTTTAATAGCATGTTTATAGGTGTATATCTTGCATTTTATCTTCTTAAATTCATTGCCATATTTTTTAGAAACCAATAGGAGTACAATACTCTAAGCTCATTTAATATACTTTATTATATTTTACATTATTTAAATCCATTTATCAGAATTCCACTGGTTTTCTCTCTCAATTAGCACAGAAAATGTGAAAAACTTGCATATTCCAAATGGACTTTTTGACAACTAATTGAAGTCATTGTAAGGGGCTATGTCTTTGTGTAATGTTCATCTTAGTCTGTACATCTGATGGGTTTGTTTTGGCTGCGGTGTGCAGGGATACAGGGTTATAGAAGAGTCCGGGCTGGAGGGTTCAGAAGGAGAGAAGGTCATGTACGAGCGTCAGAGGGCCTGGTGCTGCTCTACTGTACCTGAGCCGGCGCTCTGTGGCATCAGTCGCATTTGGGTGTTCAGCATGATGAGACGGAGAGGCATCGCCTCACGCATGATCGAGTGCCTCAGGTAAAGGGTTGAATTTTTTTATGAGTAATTGTAAGCACAGATATAATGTGTTATGTAAATATTGGTAGTTATAATGCATTAAAACACAACAACTACTTTCATACTGTCAAAGGTGTAAATGTACAATTTTAATGCAATTATTTATGAAAATAATTATATTAAAATAAGTTAGGATTTTTTAAAAGAACTTAATTATTTTATTCAGTAAGGATGCATTAGATGTATCAAAGGTGACAGTAAAGACAATTATAATGTAACAATTCTATTTCAAATAAATGCTGTTCTTTTGAACTTTCTATTCAACAAAAAATCCTGAAAAAATGTATCACTGTTTCCACAAAAATGTTAAGCAGCACAAGTGTGTTCAGCAGTGATATTAATAATAAACATTTATTGAGCACCAAATTAGCATATCAGAATGAAAATTCAGCTTTGCCATCTCAGCGATAAATTACATTTTAAAATATATTAAAATGTTTAATTATTTAAATTGATAAGCATTTCAAAACATTACTGTTTTTTTCTGCCTTTTTAGGCTTTTTTTCTGTAATTGTGAGCATAAAAATATATATATTTTTAAAAATCCTCAGATTTCTACAGATCTACAAATCTTTCTACAGATTTCAAGAAAGTAAAGTGTTACACACAATAATGCATAAATGTTTACTCCTCTTTTCCTCCAGGAATAATTTCATCTATGGGTCTCATCTAAGTAAAGACGAAATCGCCTTCTCCGATCCCACGCCTGACGGCAAACTCTTCGCAACGCATTACTGTGGAACCTCTCAGTTTTTGGTCTACAACTTTGTAAGCGGCAATCGCTCAACCTGACAGGATGTGGACATAGAGCTCAGTTTTAAAATATTGACATTTGAGAAGAGGACTGGACTTACAAGACTTTATTTCACTGTACCAAACAGTGCAAAAATGAAGTGAGAGAACAGAAACTGACAAACCATAGGGTGTTTTTAAAGGCTCTTTTTCTTCAGAGTCTTGGTTTGAATTGGCAAAGTTTGGCACAGGAGGTGTAGGATGTTAGACACTGATATCTAACCTTCACGGCCAGTTGACGTATTTTAATAAGCCTGCACAGTAGCTTATGCCTGATGCATCGTTCAATGAAAGACATCTAAACTGTTCTCTCAGGTTTAGGTTGCAGCCTATTTTAGGACTCGCCGTTTAAGTGCAAGCCATGTAGTCCAGTGCACAATTGCAAAATCAGTGTAAGTACTTCTTCCTAGAACATATAGGAAGACGTGTGAACTTTTCTACTGTAAGCAATGCCTCGGTCGTGAGGCGACGACTTTTGAATCTCAGGTTGAAAAACATCATATGAATTTGTCATGGAAATCTCCCGTTAACCCTTACATCATGTCAGCTATTTTCAAAGAGGGTATTTTGCTGATACAGTGTGTTCCATGTGCATTTTAAAGGGGTCCTATTATGCTCTTTTACAAAGTCTTGATTTTGTTTTGGGGAT